TGGCGGCAGCGGTTTCACCCATCTGTTATCAGTAAGAAAACCTAAATTAGTTTACTTGTTTTTCCCCCCATACAACATCTATTACTAGAAGTCCATTTATTTTGATTTACTTAATAAAAAAAATTCACTTTTACATACTCAAAACCAAATTTAGATTTCTTCAAAAGTTGATGGTATATATACTCATCCCGTTTCTAAATGATTGGTATTTTAACGTATTTTTGTTTCATATAAAAAAGATGTTTAAAATGATATTTTTAATAAACCCCCTACGTAACAATTCTTGTTAAAACATCAGAGTGTAGTTTTCATAAATAACAAATGAATTTAAAGGGTATATATAGTATCTACGAGACATGAAGAGTGTTTAGTTCAAAATTTGAATTTGAATCACCAATAAAGACTCATTTTATTATAATTCTTTTAAAGTCGGGAAACCGAATTCCGGAATCAACATCTTGAAGTTTATATTTTTGAACGTAAAACCAATTTCTGATGGGAATTTTAATATAAGTAAAAATAGAGAGAAATGTAGTAATAGTACCTCCTATTATTGAGCCTTAAGAGAAGTAAGACTATTATTACAAAGCTATGAACAAAAAAAGAAAGAAAGAAGAGCAAAATAAAACTAAGGAGATGGGTGATGATAGGAGTTGCTGCTGCATTTTGATCTATGTTTGGTCGTCTTCTTATATAAGCCATGGAAAGTGAGGAATATATTAATATTCACTAAAAAATGTATGACAATTATTTCAATTTTGACAATATTTGCTCGTTGGGTATTTTCTTTTTTTCTCCACCATCGTTAGTGAAAGATGAATAAAATATAACAGGAGAATCAAATGCTTGTTTTCTCCTCCGTACCTTTTGGGGTTCGACTTAATCACTCAAATATAAGATATCATTAAAATTAATAGAAAGTTAAAACAAAACTATATCATTACTTCAAGTGGTCATAGATCAATACTTTATTAAGGATATACCAAATTTTGGTTTGATTTAATTAGAAAGAATTTATGCTGCCTAAGTGCTTAGATGTATTATATTTAGAATGTTCATCAATGTGTTCCTCCATATAACGTGGAACTTCTTCGGGCATGCCACGCGTAGACTACGAGGCGTAGTGTATTGTTCAAAAGTCGAAACAAAAAGAAGAAACATGAATTATGAAAATTTAGTAGTTTCGAGAATGATAGTTTCATCATTCATGTACCTAAGTGTTGGGGAAAAAAGGTCATGTACCTAAATATGAATATGAGTAAGAAAATATAGTATTTATGAACCTTCTTGGAAACTAAAGTATGTTATGTTTCATTTTATGCTATGGCCTATCGATGTGTTGTTTTTCTTATGATCATGATAGATCTTAGTCCAAATCAATATTAATTTCCAAATTTAATATGTAGAAAGATGAGTTTAAAATGTAGAAAGATGAGTATTCTTACTATAAAACGTCTACATGCAATTACTAAAAACAAACCAAATTGATATTTGATAGTTGTAGACTTGTAGTCCGTGATGGGCTGTAATCTCTATGTATATAGTTGTATTAATTTTTGAAATTGGCTTACATAGAGAACATTTCTACCGTTCGAACTTCGTTACTTTAAACAAACTTTTTATTGTGTTGTTCATTTTTGTATTACAGAAACTTTATTAAGAATAAATGTGATAAATATGAGTATAGATGTTCTAGTAGGGTTCAAGATACTGAATGATGAATAAAATCTACATAAGCTTAACTAACTTGGAATATTTTTTTACTTCTAATAGAAAGATCAACAATTTAGGTTCAATTCGTGATATTATCATAAAGGTTTAATTTTTTTTTTAGTGATATCCATATATATATAACTTAAGAAAAAAAAGTGAATACCCTCAAAACTCATTTGAGCTTAAACAAATTAACGTGTTCACATGATCGTTCATGTTGAAAGTCAACGCCAAGGTAAACTAGACAATTTGATGTGTTATTAGTTCAATAGGATTTGAACACGTTTTATGTGGAATAAGATACAATACCAATTTGTGTTAGTGTAATAGTATACTTCAATTAGTATATTTACTAAACATGCAAGTAATTAACCGGTGATGTTATAATCTCAACATTAATTATGATCCACATTTGAGAGCATAACAGTCCAAAAGAAAGGAGAAAATTTGCAGAAAATTATAAATTGAGGCAAGTAGCAACACCGTTCAAAATACTTTTTTGGATTAATGAAAAGGTGTGAACAATATGGTAGTGATGGATATGATTATCATGAGAAAAGAATCGAATTTGTCGAGTGCTCCTATCCACC